GCACGTGATCGGGCTGCTAAATTCATGTCAAATCAGTTAAAAATAATGGGAGGAACCGGTACCATGGCGGGACACCGACACAGCCGACAAACGACGTCCGTTGGTTATCCGTCTAGGGGCGATAGCGGTCGCAGCAGCTATCAAAACCACTGCGACGGTAGCCGACAAAAAATAAATAAAAGCCCATCAGCACCAAATCTAGCTGCCGGTACACGATTGCCGGGACGATTGCCCTTACGCCACAAACTACCTCTACACATTATGTCACCTGGTAGTCGCACACTCTTTAGTCCTCGTGCGTTACGACGTCAAGCTATGTCAATGGATAATCAAGACTATAGTCCATTCTTCTCACCTCCTCGTACGCGACACAGCAGCTCCGGACTACTAACCAAAGGTAGTAGAGAATCGATGAACGACCCGAGGACTAGAGGTTCCCAGGGCTCCATGGCATTGGACTTGCATGTGCCCAACGAGTGTTCCGTCACAATGAGAGTGCGCGATAGAAGTCGGCGGTCGGATACTGCTCGACGACACGTTCTTCGAAGGCAGACACCGGTGGAACTGGATGACGCCGTAATAGCGTACGCTGTGGAACGACAGCGAGCCAAATGGTGCACTCGGTCAGCCACTTGTGACGTTCCTCATATCGGCAGATCTAAGAAGAAGCGTCAAGATTCGAGCTGCTCCGATATAGTGGCTCGCAGAAGATCCGGTTCTCCCATTTGTGGTTGGCGTTCATCAAACGAAATGATGACCGGCAGCAGCGAGTGGCCGCCTAGAAATGTCATCGATTCGGCCGTCATGTTACCACAGCAAACTGACCCACCGACTGTCCATAAGGTTGTCTCAACGTCGCACAAGACAGACAGTAAGTTGTCGTTATCCAGAACGTGTTCAGATATCGTGTCCATTGATAAATCATTCGAAGAAGTTAACTACAGTAGTTCGTAGGTAACTTCATGAGTAATTTTAGATACCAACATGTTAAAATTGAAAATAAAAGTAAATCTTTTGCAATAAATTATTGAATAGTTAAATAGAAATTTAAGAATATAGAATCAAATTTATAAAAAATCATTTGTGTATGTGTTTAAGTACAAGAAAAATATCATAACATACTATTAGATTTAAGGGGCAAAATTGTCTTTCAAATTTATTTCTGTTAAAATATTCGCAAATCGTATAGAGTGTGCATTTAAAATTTAGATAAAAACATTCAGTTAACTTTATATTCAACTTTCATTTTAGTTTGTTCTAAAGTAGAGACATTTTTAAGTTTTGATAACGGATATTATCAAATTACTTAAGTTTTGCAATTGTTAGAATGTGTGTGGAAGTAAGACAAGGTAGTGAGTGAGATAAGTGCAAGTCAGAATTATAATCATTAGTATTGGGGAACTCAGAAAATACATTTTGCTGTTTGCAAAATTTCCTGAAAATTTGTTTCGTACCAATTTACAAACAAATAATTAATATTTCCTTAAATATTACTTATAATTCATAACAATACAGAAAGTTTTTTAATTAGTTAAACATTCAACCACATTTTTTTTATTACACTTATGGAAAACAATCTCTAATCATTATACATACGTATTTTATAATATAAATTAAATTAAACTTTCTTTAAATCTTTATTATTATATTTCTTGAAAATTGTAAAGACAAATCACCATATAACTACAAATTTATTTTTGACCTTTTCCTAAAAATCTAATATATTCGAATACATTATTTTCTTTTACTAATAAAATTAAAAAGAAATCTATCTTGGAAATCATTTAAATATTGTTCATATCATTTAAATAATTAGGCATATCAAAATTAATTCACTCTTCAACATTGTAACAAGTTTAGTCAACTCAATCATTTAGGGTATAAATTCCATATCAAAATGTATTCAATATAACTACATATTCAAATAAAGCGAGTTTTGTTTAAAAATATAACAAAATTTTTTTGTGTAACTAAGCAAATGACATAAAAAGACAAAATCCATACTTCCTGATAAAGTCATCACTTTTCCAATGAGTTATTTAAATGTTTATATCTTGAAAAAAAATAAAACTATTCATCGCTTTACAAATATATTTGCTTTTGTTAATGAATTATAGATTTTTCACGTATAATTTTAATTGTTAAAATCATTATGTAAATAATTTATCTTGATGTAAACTAAAAATTTTTGTAAAATTATTTTTTAGTTATTTTTCGTATAAAAGACATTTTAAACCAAAACAAAATTTTAACTTAAAATTATTTCGATAAGAATTCTAAATATTTAATAAAAATCAGTTTTGTAGTCCATGCTGTTTTGTAACCACGTGTCAAGCAGTATGACAATATTTGAATAAAGATGAGTTTTTACGTTCTACTTAAAAATCATGTTTTATATGAATGCAATTGTCGATACATTTATAAAGCATTAGTTGTGAATTAAATTAGTGGTTTTTAACTGTTATTACGTATTCAATGCGTCAAATCGATAGATTTTATACATTCGCCTACTTTTTATTATTATCCATTTAATGTGTTTTTATTCATCTTTGTAATATTTATATTGTTTCCCATTAATCAATCATATTCTGTTTATAATGTTTGGCATTGTTGTTCAGGGTCATTTCAATATATGTTTTTTTTAAATAGCTTAGTGACAGTGCTTATAAGAAAATTAATTTAGTAAGCCTACATGGCTAAAGTATGTATATCTACTTATGCAAATAAGTGGATCAATACAAGGGAAAAAATTGACCTAGTTAAAACACCTAGTTTAATACAGAACAATAATTTAAGTAGGTTTTATAATTTTTGTGGCTAAATATTCCGATCAATATTCAAATTGAGAGATTTTTTTTATGTTAAAAAGATAATTTTTATTAAATTGTTAAGTGAAGGGTCGACGAAAATAACGTATTATGTAGCAACGTGTAAATTTTAAAAAAATCAAAAAAATTATATGCAACAATATTTTTGAATTCATTTTTTTTTTTTTGCGGAATAACGTGCATTGAAGTATTTGATTATATTTATAAGATCAGAAAAAAATGTACTAACTGCTACATAGAACGTTATACTCTTTAAGTGATAAAAAAAAATTAATGGTCTTTCAGTTTGTTTTTATTTCATTTTCAAACTTTTTTCTTTAAAATTCAATATGAATAATATTATAAAGATAATATTGTTTTTTTTTTGTTGTTGTAAATGTTATACATATTACTATCGTTAAAGTTTTAATGTAAATTATTTGTTGATTTGCTATAATATAAAATGTATTTTGTTTTATTTATTTTTTACATTCTAATATTAATTATAATTATCTGTAAAAATGTTGAATTGTGAATCTTATTTGACTGTATGTATTTTACTATAAGGCCATTTATGTAATTAATCTTTTTTTTTTCTTTTTCTTAATTCATTGTTTTTAATTAAGTAAAGAAAAATTAAGTAACACGGCATAATACAACAGAACGACTTAATTCATAATATCACTATCAAATAATTTGTTTAATATTTATTTGTAATGTATACATTACTAAACAAACAGCTGTGATATTTCTTCAAAAATTGCTATATAAATGTTTTTTCTAAACATTGAAACTATAAACAAATAATTTGATTTGGTGACAATAAAGCTTATTTGGCACATACAGTAAATATTTAAAGGTTGGAAATCATCTTAGTAGATTTCATACGAATGTAAGCTGTAGAAAAAATGAAACAATTTTTATTTACATTTTACAATATAAAATCAATTATTTCAGTATTTGCAACATTCATTAAATGCTTAATTTTAATAGATTAAAAACATTTAACTTATTTCAATATTAATAAATGTGTACTCCAATTAATATGACCATTATTATCGTACATTAAATGGCCTATAAGAATAATTCATAATTAATACATAATTCCGGTCTGAGTCTAATTGAACTAATATTTTTCAAATTTAATCAAATCTAAATCTATTATTTATAAAATTAACTTATAGCCTGATACACTTGATAAAATCATAATTTTTAATACTCAGTAATTATTAAAAAATTTAAACCTAAAATTGTTTTAATTGCAAATTTGATTATCTTATTGAAAAATAAGATACAAGTCTTTATTTTCTCAATACAATGGGCAAATGAAGAATTGTATTAGTATTTTTTAATCCATAAACACTTCATAAAATACATTTACAAATAATTAATTAAAAAGTTAGAAAATATGCCCATACGTAACGAAAATTTTAATAAATTCTATTTTAACAGATCAGACAAAATATTCATTGAAATTGTTTAACTATATTTAATCTACTTCAAATTGAAGAAAAACAGTTTACTAATAAATATGTTACTAATGTAATACTTTAATGTTACATATGCTCCTATGTTGAACATTGTTATAATCTGTCTTTTATCAAAAGACAAATGATAAATATACGTATGTAATAAGAAGTTGTAAATGTTTTTAACCCTGTTTTTTTTATTGAAATCATTGTTTTATAAGTGAACTGTTCGCATTGCATTAATGTATCAATCAATTTATATTAAATAAATAAATTATCATTACCTGTTTTACACAAGTTTTAATTTTTTTAACATTTTCATTTCATATCAGTTTTTTTAATAAAAAATTATTCAATTTTGATAAACATGCAAATAAATATTATCATTAATTTTTTTACTCAAGTTTGGATCACGTCATTTGCCCCTCAATTTTGATGTTTTACAATGGTGAGACATCGAAATTTACTAATAAAGTTAATTAAAATTTAGATCATACTCTAAATTTTAATAAACGTTAAGTTGCGTTTTTGAGTATCTTAAGTCGGCTGAAATTATGTTCGACTAAAAATCTTGAAGGTTTATCATTTTAAATCACAATGAAACTTTTTTCAAATAAGATAATCTTGAATATATTTTATGAAATAAGTTATGATCCAAAAAAAAATTAGCTATACCTTTGCTTGGATATTAAAATTATTTCATTTAAGCATATGGTACGAAAAATAATATCATGTTAAGCTCACTTACTCAAATAAAGACAAATACTAAAGTTACTTGCTATGCTTAACGATAAATGCAATGTTTTGATTTGTATTTTGGTTGTCACGGCTTCTACAAGTTGGCTGTATAGTTTAATAATTTATGTTCACTATGCTATAAACAATTATTGTTTAGATCGTTCTTAATCCTTTTACACGTCGGAAGTCTCTTCATCTAGTACCAATACTCCAAGTATAAGTCCAATCATAACAATGGGATGTTCCGGTAGTACACCTATTCCTATGTCTGATTCGATGAATGGCCATGCTAATAGAGAAGTACCAATACTGAGTGGCCTGAATGACAACACAGAAAACAAATCTTTTTCAGCAAGTTCAATCATTGATAAAGTAACCAACTTGGATGAAATGTCTAAAAAACTCAAAGGTAATTTTTATAGTAACTTTAATTTTTTTATATTATAATTATTCTTATTGTTTTGAATTTTTTATCTGCAGATTATAGGTGCCTCTCTTATCAAAATTAACTTTTTAATAGTACAAAACTCTTCGGTAACACATTTTTATGGTAAAAAAAAATTATTGTTCTTTATAGGATTATAAAAAGTTACAAATAGGCCATTATCTATTTTCCACGCAAAAATTAATAAAATGTGACTAAAATATAAGCATATGTTTTTATTTAGACATATAATAACGGGGATCATACAATACATTCCTAAAAATTATCATTTTTATAAATAATTATTTATATAAATAATTATTTATATATTTTATATTATGTTTAAAACTGTTAAACTTAATTTTACTTTTGTGCACAAATGTTTTTAGAGATATCTGGAAGTGTTGAAAATTTAATGGAAGGAACACAAGAAAAATTGTGTTCTTTATTTAAGAAAACTGAAGAAAAATCAGAGGAAATAGCTGACGAAATAAAACAAGATTTTGAAGAGAACGTTACTATATCAACTACTTTGCCAGACTAAGTGGCAATTTCCCTATATATCAGCTATGGTACAAACACTTTTTTACCATTTCATATTTTGTTAAATGAATGGATCGTACAATTCATTTGGGACAGTTATTATACGAATCGTTAAATTATATATAACTACACAAATGGAATATAATTACTATTATTATATAATAATAGTAATAATTTATATAATTGTTTATGTAATTAATTTTATTATAATATACTTAAATATAGTAGCTTATAAAAATCTATAAACAAAATTTATCTACTTTAAAAAACTTAAAATTTTCCTAAAAATATATCAATAAATTTATTTAAAGTTACTTTTGATTGAAAATTTAAAAATAACTCAGTGGTATATCTACTTAAGCGCGTTATTTATTAAAAAAAACAATAGTACAATAGAATCGCGGCAAAATAAGGAAAAACTAAACACTTATGTTCCAAAAATTATTAACGTTAAACATAAAATACGATAGCACAATAGGATCGCGGCACAGTATGGACGTGGCATAGTTGGGACAAGTATAGATGATATCTGACAGTGATTAAAGTTACTATCATAAGAAACGCTTCAATACAAATTTTTAGATAGTGTTTAATTTTAAGAAATTGGTGGATAATTACAAAAGAAAAGTGAACTTCTATTTCCTTAATTATATCCTGATTAATAGTTCTTAGATTTAAAAGTATAAATTATGAATAAAATATTTATTGTAGCAATTAAATATAGTATGAAATTAATATTTAACAATTCAATATTGTAATTTTTAGGGAGAAATAATAAAAACTGAACAAGTGGTTTATTTTGTAACTTCTAAGAAAAACATGAATAAAAATTAAATGGCTTGATCCAATACTTTATAACAATTTTTTTTGTTAAAACTTTTAAAACAGATATAAAAAAAATATACCAAATGAAAGGTAATGATATCATGCATCCATATCAAAAAATGGTTTGGTCATTTTTAAAAAAATTATGGCAATTTTAAGTAAAAAAAACCCAGCACAGGGGGGTCGCGGCACAGTGGTGACGTGGCATAGTTGGATCAAGTATAATGATATCTGACAGTGATTAAAATCACTATCAAAAAAAAAAACGCTTCGATGCAAATCTTTAGATAGTGTTTAATTTTAAAAAATTGGTGGATTATTCCAAAAGCTTCATAAACTGCTAGTTCCTTATTAATATCCTGATTAAGATAAAGTATGTCGAATGAAAAAAGGAATATTAAAAAATAGTATTTCCCATAAAAAAATTATATTGATCAATACACTTTTCAATAAGTTATGCTATAACTTATAAAGTTAAAAATGTAAAAAATAAAATTGAGAAATTTTACACAAAAATAGCATTTGGTAGCCATTTTCACCGTGAAGACAAAATAAAGTCCAAAATTTTTTTTTTACATAATAAAGTAGATTACATTAGCTTTAATTTAAGATATATATAAAAGTGTCAGAC